AATACTTTAATCAAAGTATTATTAATAAAGTATTATTAATTAGTAATAAAGCAGAAAATGGAGGAAATTACTTTGATTAAGGTATTCATTCATCTTCCCTTCGAAACAAATCAATTTTCGAGACGAAAAAAGGCAGGAATTAAGTTTAACACTTAATATATGAAATATGTCCATATATGTTCATACATCCTTCTTTCTTTTGTGAAATTACTGTTTTATTATAAAAAAAGAAGACTTCCGGTTCCGGTGTGTTAAAGGAAAGTTGACGAGTAGTGAGTGGGCAGAGCAAAGGGTGAAAGTGGAAAGAGAGAGAGGTGTGAGAGTGTGATAATGAGCGATGGTGAGAGAGGGAGTGATCCCGATTGATCACGGCTCGATTGGACACCACCAATCACATCGACCGGTGCTTAGGAGCTTTGTAGTCTCAAGCGCTGTGAGTGGCTCGTGTCCAATTGAGCCGTGTCCAACTGGGTGCCACCCGTGAGAGAGGGAGTGGAGGGAAGGGTGTGAGAGTGAGGGAGAAGTGGAGGAAAAAGATAGTGGACGAGGAAGGAAGGAGAGAAGCAAGGAATTGAGGTTAGGGGATAGGGTTGGAGCTGAGCATGTGGCGCGTGGGGAGGGTAGCGGTGGAGCGAAGGAGGGGTGTAAGTAAGTTCGGGAGAGAATAAGAGGAATAACAGGTCGGTTCGGAAGTGCGAGTCTGTTCACAAGAGATAGAGGTCTGTTAGAAAGTGGAAACGAAGGAGGAAGGTAGAAGAAGTGATAGAGAGAGGGAGATAGAGAAAGAGGGGGGGGGGGGGGAGAGAGAGAGAGAGAGAGAGAGAGAGAGAGAGGATAGATGATAGAAAGAATGAAAAAGTTGGAGAAGGATAGACCTGGAAGTACGGGGGAATCGGCGGAATCCTTTAAAAGAAAAAGAGAAAGGGAGGAAGGGGAGGCGAAAGAGAAGTTAGAAATTTTCAGAAGTAGTAAAAAGACGCTATAAGATCGCCGGTACTAAACTAATATATACAGGGTGTCCCATTTTAAATGATCCAGTCAAATATCTCGAAAACTAAATCTAGTAGACAAAAATGTTTCAGACAAAAGTTGTTTGACTCGAAGGGGGACATAAGATGGTGCCATCGATTTGACCTTGGATAGTCCTCTGAAGGTCACGTGAAGGTCACCTTTAATTTTTTAAATGGAACCCCTTATTTCTCATTGCACATTCTTACAGCTCATCTCGAGAGCTTTCCAAAACAATACAATTAAGTTACTTTCCGTTAAGTACTAGTTAAGTTATAAAGCAAGATCGGGACTGATCCGGCCGACTAAAGCAAGATCGGGGCTAATCCGGCCGACTAAAGCAAGATCGGGGCTTATCCGGCCGATTAAAGCAAGATCGAGACTTGGTGATCCCGATTGATCACGGCTCGATTGGGCATCACCAATCACAGCGACTAGTGCTTAGGAGCTTTGTAGTCTCAAGCGTTGTGAGTGGCTCGTGTCCAACTGGGTGCCACCCGATCGAGACTGTGATCCGACCGATTAAAGCAAGATCGGGGTTGATCCGGTCGACTGAAGCAAGATCGGGGCTGATACGGCCGATTAAAGCAAGATCGAGACTGATCCAACCGATTAAAGCAAGTTCGGGGCTGATCCGTCCGACTAAAGCAAGATCGGGGCTGATCCGGCCGACTAAAGCAAGATCGGGGCTGATCTGGCCGGTTAAAGCAAGATCGAGACTGATCCGGCTGACTAAAGCAAGATCGGAGCTGATCCGGCCGATTAAAGCAAGATCGGGACTGATCCGGTCGATTCATATCAGAATCTAGTTTAGGGTTGATCCGGTCGACTGAAGCAAGATCGAGACTGATCCGGTCGATTCATATCAGAATCTAGTTTTAATGGGAAATGATTATGATCTTAATAAGTGTTCGAATATCTGTCCATTATTATCCACACATAATTGAACTCGACGTTCAAAACAGTCAACTGTCGATAAAAGTATATTTCTTGGAATGCTACGGCAGGCAAGAGTTATACGCTCTATCATATTCTCTCTTGTTGTGGGAGTTTTTGAATATACTACGTTTTTCAAGTATCCCCATAAAAAGAAATCTAGACTTGACAAGTCTAGAGATCTAGGACACCATGACACTGGTCCACCGCGTCCTATCCATCTACCTCCCAGTGAGAAATGATAATGGAATCGACATCGAATCGATGTCGATTCGACGTCGAAATTATCAAATCGACATCGAATTGACGTCGATTCGACATCGATTTTATTGTTATTTCTCACTGGGCTGGGAATGTGAGATCTAAATGGTTTCTAACTCTTCTACTCCAGTGCGCAGGCGCACCATCCTGTTGAAAGAATATACGTTGTCTTGTATCCAGATCGATATCTTCAAGCAACGCCGGCAATCTTTGTTACAGAAAGTGTAAATAATTATTACCATTAACACTTTCGTTAAAGAAATAAGGGCCGATAAGGTTTCCGTTTAATATGCCACACCATACAATGAGGCTCCAGCAATGTTGATGATTAATTCTCATTATTGGTCTGTTGAAAACCCACCAATGTGGGTTTTCAACAGACCAATAATGAGAATTAAGTCGATTTAATTGTCCAGTGTTGTGAAAAGTTGCTTCGTCACTAAATAAAATAAATCTGAAAAATGTTCGATCACGATTTAACATTATTTGTGCCCACCTACAAAATTCTAGTCTTTGTTGAAAATCATTGAGTGTTAATTGTTGTGTCAA